GGCGGGGCGGGGGTGCCCCGCCCCGGACCCGCCCCGTTGCCATCCCTACTATTAATTTTTTTAATTTATCGATTTTGATTGAGTGCTTGTTTGGGAGGGATTTTTGGGAGAATAATTGATTTTGAATAGTGATATGATGAGAAATGTGTAGCTGAAAATGAAGAAAAAATTATTGATACGATGGAAAATATTATTTTATTGAAAAATATGTGATTGAAAATAAGAATTAATTTACTATAGAATTTTGAGAATCTTTCCAAAACAGGGCCTGAATTGGGTTAGGTTGGGTTTTAATTCATAGCCCGTACTCAACCGAATCTCAATTTTGATTTTTCAATCCAACACAGCACAATTGAACTTAAAAATCAACCCAAATCAATCGATTTGACTTGGATTTGTCGGGGTTGGGTTTTGCCCAACCTAGTCGTGCTTGGTTTGAAATATACTGTGTTAGGTCTTCTGCATTTATACATCTACATATCCATATGTGCTGTGTTGGAGTTTTTTACAAGGTTGTCCGTGATCTTGAGCTGGATTTTTCGTTATCTAACTTTTACCTAATCCAAAATTCATTGTTTTAAAATTCAAGCTCTACTAAATTGAACTCTTAACTTTTCAAATGCCTGTGATTTATCAACATCGTCAACTAGACTTGTTCATGTTACTACACATGAGATTAAACATAACACACTTGAGTGTCTATTTGAGCCCCATTTTTGGATCAAAATGTATTTTAGAATAGTATCTCGTTGGAGAAGGTATTGTTAAAAAATATTTTATGTTTGCATATAAAATTATTTTACGGGAGAATATACAGTTGAAAATAACTTTTTAAAAAAATAAGGACCAAACATAGACTTAATAAAGAATTCATGTCAAATGAATTTACCATAAATAGTCAACTTATATAATATAAAAAACCATAAATAATATAGCCACGAGAGGTCATTATCTCGAGGTGGCATATGGCACTCGAGGAATTAGTTTAACAAAGATGCCAACATGAATTGGATCCATTAGTTAAGTATAAACTGAGATTGATATCTTGACTTTGATTTCTTTGGCTTATTTATTTTCATTATTTGTCACTATAGAGGGTTCCCCATTCTTATCGCGTTCGGCCACATGAAATTTCATTGGTTTTTATATGAATAGAATCAAAGTAAATAAATGTACTAAAATAATTTTTAAAATTCTGATCACGGGTACATATTACTTCATGAATAATTTACTTAAACTACTCTTATAGGTGGTAACAAATAACAATACATGTGTATGAAACTTGTTACGTGTTGATTCGTGGTTTGATGGTACTATTGGATTATAGGGAAAATTGTAGCGACGGTCCCTAATTTTTCATTTTTTTTGTAGACTTTAACCTTCACTTTGTGCTAACCATAGTCATAAACCTTTTAAAAATATGTAACTAGGGTCCAAATGGATGGAAAACTGTTAGTTGATCAGAAAATTCAAAATTTATTCAATTTTGACCAAATTAAAAAGGATAAAATTGTACTTTGTATTTTTTTTTACATTAAATAAGTTAAAAAATTAAATTAAAAAACCAAAACAATTACAACAATTTAAAAAAAAAAAAAAATCTGCCCTACTCACGCCCACCCATCTTCATCTTCCTCTTCTCCTTGCTGCAACGACCACGGTGCCATCACTCTCCTCTCTCCCAATTCCACTACATCTCCTCTACCTGTAGTTGTCCACCACATTCATCTTCTTCTCCAAACTATTGTAGATCTAGCAGTTAATAGACCTTTTATTTTTTTTAAAAAATTTAAATTTGATGATATATTCGTAATTTCACAGTTTTTATTAAGTAATTTAATGAAAATTGATAGAACTGATGGTTTGCACAATTAAAGATGTAATTAAAGGTAAAAATGACAAAAAATAAAAAATAAAGTTATGAACTTTTTTCACAATAATAGTGAAATATATGGACATTATGTGGTAGTTGTCCTTTCAATAATTTGATTGAGACTCGTTTGCACTTTTAAAAAAATTGGACTATGGTTGCAATTGATTTTTTCTTTTTCTTGTTGCTTTATTTAAATATAAACCTATATTCATCATTTCATAACTTTTAATTGAGAAAATTGATGGAAATAAGGGTGAAAATGTCAAAAAATGAAAGGTAAAGAACCTTTTCAGAGTTATAGTAAAAGGTACGTGTTAATTAAAAGAAAAAAAAAAAAAGAAAAAAAAGGGCAGCAGTTTGGCATAACTCCATTCAGATAGTCAGTAAATTTATCCCAAAATTCCATCCTCCCATTTTGACTGTGCAGTTTTTAATTCACTCCTAGAGTAGTCCACCCCACCCTAACCCCTACCTCCCACCCTACACCACCCCCCAACTTCATCAAAATCCCGCGAGAAAATCAAGTCTTTGATGCAGAAAACTCGAAAAACTCTCCCAGATATGGAAAATCGGATCCCCACCAAAGTTGATTTCAGAATCTCAGCAGTAGCCAGTATGCTTTGTAAATATTAAAAAGTAGATTTCATTGGATTTGATTTTGAACACTTCTTTTTCTTCATATATACATCGAAAAAGACGTGTGATACCATATATTTTTGATACAGACAGATTCATTCACCATTACAATACAGTAAATCTTTTCTGTTCATTTCTTTCTTTCTTATATTAGCTTTTAACTTGAAGGGCTTTTTTGAAAGGAAAAAAGGTTTTGGTTTTTGTCATCTGGGCTGTTGAGATTTTCTCCAAGAACTGAAAATGGCTAAAAATGTTGTGTTTTCAAGATTAAGAAGGCTTGGGAAGAATGAAAGGTTTGATGATGATCTATCATCATCTTGTGATTCTGATGAAGTCCATGTATTAGCCGTTGATGACAGTTTTGTTGATAGGAAAGTCATTGAGAGATTGCTCAAAATCACTTCCTGTAAAGGTGTGTAAATTCTGATAATTATTTTGTGTAGTTTCTTAATTTAATGAAATACTAATTATTTGTGCAATTGCAGTTACAGTAGTGGATAGTGGGATGAGGGCTTTGCAGTTCTTAGGACTGGATGAAGAACAAAGTTCTGTTGGTTTTGATGTGAGTAAATAATTAATTATTATAAATATTTTTAAAATAATTGATTATAAGGGCTTTTTTGGAGTTAATTAATGTATTGATGTGTGATGAATTTTGATCTTCAGGGTTTAAAGGTAGATCTGATAATCACAGATTATTGTATGCCTGGAATGACTGGCTATGAATTGCTGAAGAAACTTAAGGTTCAATTCTGTCATAAAATTTCTTACATCAAATTTTTAATTTTTAGATTATAATTATTTTAAAATTTAAATTTATTTATTTATTTATTTTTAAATTTCAACAGGGTTCATCTACATTTAGAGAAATTCCAGTTGTGATCATGTCATCTGAAAATATTTTAACTCGTATTGACAGGTATATTTTGCTGGTTTACACATTTTTCTTTCCTATTTTTATTGCCAAATTTTAATTTCAAGAAAAGTTGTATGCAAATCAGATGTGTCCTCTTCCCCAAGAAGTGATCTCGTAATTTGTTCTGATAAGCTGTTATTCGATATCAGATGTTTGGAAGAAGGAGCTGAGGATTTTATAGTAAAGCCCGTCAAGTTATCTGACGTAGAGCGTTTGAAGAACTACATGTTTGGTGAAGGTCGGACGAAGAGTCAAGGCAGAGGATCTAACAAGAGAAAGTTACAGGAGACATCGTCTTCACCTTCTCCGACATCCTCAACTTCACCAGAACCATCTTCCGATTTATCATCAATTTCTTCACCATCAACACCTCGATCACCCACATCTCTAGATTCTCCTTCGAAACGATACAAAACGAGCCATCACGATTAACGGAGTAGACAAGCCAATTGTCCCATTAATGCAAAGTTTTCTCTTGGCTAGCCATTATTTTTGTTCTTATTTACTTTGTTTGAACAACCCCATGTCTCACAATGTTTATATAAGTAAAATTCATTTTTTTTTTTTAAATTGCTAATTGACCTTGATTAATTTGTGGGACGTTAAGAATTGTTCCACTATCGATCGCATCGTGCCATCTAATCCAACTCAACACGTTTCTAAAATAGTTGAGCCCGCTTAAAACTATACTATTTTGCATTATTTTAAACATTATTTAGGGTCTGTTTGACAGGTAAAGATGGAAAAGAATTCCAATTACACGTTAGTTGAAAAAATAAAAATCTACCAAATTCATAGAAATTCGTTTTCCATGAAAACAAAAAAAATGTAGTTTAAAGTTGTTGTACCTTGAAATTCGATTTCCATTTTCACGTAATCAAACGGTCAAAATGAAATTCATTTTTTTCAAATATAACATTTTCCATGAAAAGTGTTACAAGGAAACATGGACTTAGTAATCTTTATAACCTATTCATGGTAGTTGAAGTATGGATTTATTTGATGTCAATTCTTGTCTGCTAAATGGCATATTGGATTCGCATTTGAAGTGGACATGTTATTTTTTCCATATGGGTTAAATTATTTGGTTGGAGTGGGGTGGACTTATCTGCAGAGTTATTGGTAGACACCAAAAATTGGCCTGCTGTCAGGCCCAACACCAGAACATGGCATCTTCTATTACAGCTGCCCCGGCAACAACAACAATTATAAGTTTTAAACACCTCAATAATGTCATGTGTTTGGTCGAGTCATTACTCCTTTATATACACTTGACTTGGATAGATCGTATGGCTATAGAGTATTAATGACGAAAAGCGAGTTCTTGAATCCTACAAGATGTAGTAAGTGGACTTATGGGCAGCGCCGGCCCTGAGAATTTGGAGGCCCTAAGCGACAAATTATTTTGAGGCCCTATATAAATTTTTTTTACACGTGTAACAATATTTAAATAAAAGAAAATATGTCCACTAACAAACAAAGATGTGCAAGATGAAGCAAATATGGATAAGACACACCCCGAGGTGCCTAAACAACGGAATTCCTCAAATTAGTGGTGTCAAATGAGCCGAGCGGCTCGTCGGCTCGCCCGCTCGGCTCGTACTGTTCACGCCCACGAGCCGCTCGGGCTCGTAAAAAAACGAGCCCGAGCACGAGCCGAGCGGGCTGGTGGGCTAGACGA